ATGCGGTACGCGGAACAAGGTAGCGGTTCGCTAAAAGTCCCCAATATCAAGCACCGATTGGAACAAAGAATAAAAAATAGCTTCATGTGCATATGCCGTTCTGTACCGGTTGAAACGCCACGTGGAAAACAGAAGCGCTGCCGGATGCTTGGATGTCAGATGCCCGGATGTGCGCGGTGAGATAGAAAGATGTGAGAATAACAAGCGCGAAGTTGCGGCAGCACCACAGCTGCTTTTACGCGCGCTTTACTGTGCCTCAATATAGATATGCTGCAGGGCGACCCAAATAGAACGGCCGCCATGAAAGCTATTCCGCCAGCTGCGATTCATCCACGTGCGCCAGAATGATTCAATGTTTTTTTTAACATTTGCAGAAATCACTTTCCGATTCGGAACATGGCTTGACGGGATTTTTCCACTATATTTTGTTTCACAACAATCTGGCTGGCGTTTAACTGGCAATAATAATTAAACGATATAAAATACGGGGTGTGTCTCCCAAATATCTACCTCTTTTTTGCCACAAAAATAAAACTACGTATTGTCAAACGCTTATTCTTAATTCATTTGTAGCGCTCCAGATCCGAACCAGATGCCAAAATTTCAGCACTAACCCTTATTTTATCAAAAGGTTAGAAGCAATTTTTCGAAAATTTCATTGGTATTATGACGGCCGATGAAGCTCTATTGCACCAGAAACCGAAAACGGGCAAAAATGGGCCACCATTTCCCCGATGAATTCTTCAAAACATCACCTAACTTTTGGTGTTCGGCAATGCATATTTAATTTTTGTGGTTTAAAAAAAAAAAAAAAAAACTTTTTTTTTTTTTTTGGGGGGGGGGGGGGGGGAGGGGGAGGAGGCACCTTGTACGTTAAAACGCCTCAGTGGCTCTGAGCAAAGGCCTACAAATCTATATTTGGCGGGTACGAATACCGGCCGAGGTGCCCGCACACAGGTGGTTGCCAATTTGAGAATTTGGTTAGACGGCTTAGGTTTCCGGTTGGTCGAAATGAACCCTCGGTTTCTTTCAGTGGGACGTGCCAGATGACCTATGTGGGTTTGGCTTGTAAAACCCTAAGATCTGAATGTTTGCTCCGCTTCACCTTTATTTAAAGCACAGCCAACACTACGGGCTGATGAAGTCACTAGGGAGTTTTCGTAGACCCCGTTTCCCCCTCCACTAAGCCGTCCGCAACGAAGAAGCCGCTACTGCGCCTGCGCGCCCATTGCCTTGATTGTAGAGTTTCGGGTATCGTAGTAAGCTGCGGAGAGTGTTGCGGGACGGCGAAAACGATCTACGAAAACTCCCTAATGAAGCTGCGCGAAGAGCGCAAGGTCATGCAGTTCGGTAATAAATGGGGTTGTGGAGATGTTTAGAAAGCGTGTAGTTGGTCAGCCATTTCAAAGATGCGACGAGTCACTCGTTCTAGATGAAAAATCTAGCCAGTGCAGTACAACCGCTAGCCTGAGGTCTTTAACGTGCACCACGCAGTAGTGGTACACGACCGCACGCCGGTACGATGCTCATCTAGATCGAAACGGGCAGGGGTGGGGCTCGAGCCCAGTATCCCTGGGTTCTGCAGCGCGAGTTTCGCTCCACGTGCTCCGAGCTGGTGTGCGCTAGTCCTCTCGGCCACCGATCTCCCCATGCAGTTCGTTCTCTTCCTGTGCTCGTGCGATCGTCGGCTAAACGGGAAAAACTAAGTGCAGTGGGAGATCGGTGACTGAGTGTGTCGGTGCACCGCACATCGGCGAACTCGGAGAAATGCGCTAAAGCGAGCTCCGTTCAAAGCACGTAGCACGCGCCGCAGACCCCTTTTACAAATGCGCCCCTCGACGATGGGCTTTTCGTGAGTTTCGATTTGCACAGCATTATGGGATAACAAATCACCATGTTTTGGTCAGATTCTACGTCAGGAAAAATACACAGCGCAAAAGGACAGAAAGGGAAGAGACACACCGGATAGAACAGAGCGCTGACTCGCAGCTATATATTTTAATAGAAGAAAAGACAAAATAAAAATATTTTTTGGTTTGGTCCTGTATACATGCATAAGCGACTGGCATCTGAGGAATCACCCGTTGGAATCGGCCGCAGCTCATCGCGGTACGGGTTACTTCCGGTGGTGGTAATCCAAGACACCGCATGACATCTCAACCCGGTACGCCTGTACTGGCATCAATGACAGAACCTTCATGCTCGCAGCAGAGACCTGCTGACAAAGACCACAACTATCATGTCACTCAAGGTACCCAGTCTGACCGCTCCGGTCTGGGAAAATGACCGAACGACATGGGCGGCGATTTCGCTGAATCGTTTTCGACACCTGCCAAGATACTGGCAGCGGAAAATGACAAAATGGAGGAGGGGTTCACAGAAGGAGACCTGGAAGGTTTCAGTCTTGTAGGACACCGTCGACATCGAACAACGGGAGTCCCGGTGCTTTTGACACTACCAGCGAGAGACAGTGTCTCCAGCAGCAAAACCCGTGGAGGTTAAGCGCCGAGGTCAACACCGCAGCGGGTGGCCCAATTATACGCCGTCGCTTTACAGCTAGGGGCTGTCTCCTGCTTGAGGTTGCAGAAGTCGCTTCGGTGAATAACCTTTTGCAAGTCCGTACCTTTGGCAATATTCCAGTACAAGTCACCATACCAGGTGCATACCTCCAGAATTTCAAAATGATTAAGGGTGTCCCCCTGTGGCATACGGACACTGAATTAGCAGAATTCCTGCAGCCGGAAGGTGTCATCGCGGCCCGCCGCCTCTACCACCGGCGTGGAAGACCTAGTGACGCCGCAAAAGCGTCAGACTGAGTGATCCTGACGTTTCGTCGAAACACAGAACGTCCGTCGAAAGTCAACCTCGGGTTCCCCCGGCATGACGTCGCCGAGTACATTGAGGCACCACCCAGGTGCTTCAATTGTCAGGCACTCGGGCACATCGCGAAATTTCGCAAGGGAAGCACAAAATGCAAAAAATGCGGTGAACCCCATTCAACAAAGGACTGCAAGGGCGAGGCACCAGTAAAGTGCGCAAATTGCAGTGGAGAGCACCCAGCAGACTATTCAAACTGCAAAGTCCGCCTGGCGGCTCTGAAAAAGACCAAGACCTTTGTACGAGGACCACCACCGCCCCTCCGATCAGAAATGGCCCTCCCTCCCAAAAATCCTATCCACCTCTTCCACCTCGAGATCAAGCAAACCCGACGCCTCTCCAGTAGCAGCTGCGGATGAGAAAGAACAAGACAAATCACACTTCTTCGAACAAGCACATGGCGACGTAAAACACGCCTTCTAGTGAGCCACCGCCTGCCTCACAGACGCAAAGTAGTTCTGAGACACCTCGATCCAAATCTGGCAAGCGCACATATAGCGACGCAGCCACTCGTGCTTCCCCCGTTCAGGATTCGCCATTGCCTGCCTTCGGCACAATAACGGTCAGTGTCATAATAGGTCTAGTTTTTCCTGTCGTGCGAAACTTCGTTTCACAACTGCCATCGTGCACTTTTAAGAACATAGTTGAAGGAGTTTTGGTTTTTGAGCCTGCAATCGTAGCACTTATTGGGCGCTCGCGTCAGTCTAATGACTGATGTTCTCTCTTTCAAAGATTATGTAAAACAAGCGACAGTCTTCCAGTGGAATGCTAGAGGGCTACGTTCTCGTGTTTCTGACTTTAGGCAGTTTATTTTCAAATATTAGTTCCCCATTTTAGCAGTTAGCAAGTCACGTGTTCCGCCAGATTTTATACTTTCTGGATATCATTCGTTTCAATCAAATCGAGGCTCTGGCACTAGTCGGGTATTTATTGCTCTACGAAAAAAATTTAACATACGTGTCACGTAACATTTCATCACATCCGAGTATGGAGTATGTCAGCGTCACTGTTAGTAAAGGGAAACTTTCACTCACTGTAATCGCCACATACGTTGCTCCGACATGTTCTTTTGATGTTGACAAATTGAGTACTATCACCAGACAATGTCCTCCCCCAATTTAAGTGGCGGGTGACTTCAATGCTTATAATGCAGTTTGGAGTAGTGCAAGAACAACATGCCGTGGAAGGGAACTGCTAGATTTAGTGGATGATTACGAACTTTGCGTACTGAATGACGGGACACCGACATTTGTTCGTGGCACACGTTCCAGTAGCTGTCTAGACCATGTGAACTCGTGTCCCGGACGTCCTGGTTTACGGACGTTGTGACTCACGGTATCGACCAGACACCTACCTAAATCACAGTACCCGTTATACAGCCCGCGGAGTCAACCGAAACTGTGTTTCGTACGTTGACTGAACGTTCTTTAAGAATAACGTGTAGTCTAAGTTACAAACCAATGGGACGTATGAGTCATCCATTTCCACCATTCAGCAGTCAGTAACTGAGTCCGAACGGGCCGTCCATCTTCCTTCTTCGCGCACATTCATGGATGCAGAGTATGAACGTCTCCGTGCAATCCGGCGGCGTGCAGAAGGGCGAGCAAGGCATACTAAGCACCTGAAGATATTCGGGTTGGTAGACGAACTCAAAAACATATCCGCCGTCACTTGGACAAGCTAAATCGAAAAAAGTGGAGAGGCGTTTGTGCTTCTTTCGATCCTTGTGCTCCTTTGGCACGATTATGGCACATCGCGCGTGGCCTGCCGATTTCCACCTCAACAAAGAACACCATTCAATGCCCTCGCAATCTTCTTGCGAAGGTCAATTCTAGAAATTGCAGCGGCTCTGCACAGCCCGTTATTTATTTGTTCATATATTTTTTGTTGGCTACTTTTATTTAAAACCCATTTTCTGGAGAATTAATAGCTGTTTGCTATTGTGACGCTACCACCAACAAAATTGTGCCATGGTGACAAAGTGAGGCTGAGGCATAGAGCATGGGAGAAGCGAGCCATCGCCACATCTCCTTTTCTAGCCCACCATAGCAGGATATTGGCCAATCTATACAGACCAACCCTACCGTGTTTTTCTCTGCAGCACTTCTTCCTTGAAAGCCGACATGGTGGGAACTGCAAGCAAGCCCGACGTCCTGGGACGCGACCAATGGACAAACCTTTGGGACACCGGCAAAGCGTTGTGGCACCTTGACCACGTGTATCCGTAAGCATGACAAAGTACAAGATGACGACATGGTGCCGATCAGCGTGGTGTATGAATAGACCTATTGCTAAATTACCCAAGCACCAAGAAGCATGCAGGGAACGTATAGCGAGTTCGTTTCACACGCACTGGCGCCGTTAGAGTTCTCTCCCACAATGCATAGCGCTCGCGGAGTGTCGCACGCAGAACTGGCCTCAAACGAACTCGCTAAATGCACCGAGTGCAGAGTGATGCTGTCGCATCTATGTTGTAGAAAGAGTACCCACCTCGAACCGAAAGTAGCGCTACAGAGTGCGATTCTCTTCGGTGTGATGGGTGGGAATGCAAGAGTGCAGTCGCTACCCGCGTTTATCTATAAACGTTGGTCGCGCTGCAACCTGTAGTTTTTATTTGCGATGACTTCAAGCAACTCGGCTGTCATAGAGATATTTACAGACGGCGTAAATTTCCGCAACCAGCTGACTACAAAGCAGCGGGTTGCAATCTTTGATTTCTTATAACCGTTCACACTAGAGAAAACTGATGATGCTGTCCGCGCAAAAGTTTGATCCCTTTGAGCATGATGTTATGCGCGAACCACTGAAATGGTACGGCTTAAAACTAGTTTGTTAGAATATCCAGCAAAACGTTTCGTGAGACTTTTGATTTCGACCGTCATTACAGGTGGGTCAGATTTTAGCTTTGGTGAGGGCATCGAGAACGAGGACGCTTTCTCAAACATAATACGACGGGGCGAGATAGCTCACGTAGGTAAATGTTAAACATGATGATGTTGCCAAAGCCTCGAGTAAAGTCACTATGTTAAGCTTTATGCTGCGGGAGCTTTGTCGACAGATGTTGAATTTTGCACCCGCTCACGGATGGCGATAAAGATCTCGGGGGCCGCTGGCATGCGTTTGTTTTGAGCATTTCTTTACACACTGGCAATGCCTATGAGACAGGTGTCGTTTAGGGTCTGTGCGACAAAACAGCGTCTAAAAAGTTGCAAATAAAGCACAGGTTGTCCATTGCTTCCTTCATAAAATAGCAGACGCTCACAATTCAAGGTCGCGTTTGATTCCGCTGCCCGCGGGACGACATTTCTGCCAGAAAGTCTTACTTTTTTTTCCTTTCGGTTCCGCTGTACCAATGACACATCGTAGCAGACGAACCCTCGTCGTCTGCTCCCGCTCCTCGCCGGAGCGAGGCTTGACGGAATTGCATTTTGGCGCACGCTCGATTTTCTCGGTGCAGCGGGTGCATGCACGCGTGGGCTGTCGGCGCTGAAACGAACTCGGAGAGTGCAACCACTCGTGGACCCGCTCCACGCTGCGAATGGGCACGCGTGTACACGAGTGCCGTAAAACGAACTCGCTAGTAGTTACACGCGCAGCACTTGCTCGCCTTATACCCCTATCAGACGGGTTAATTATGTGCATTTCAACCAAGTGCACTTCGCCTTTAGTGACATTTCAGTAGTGTGCCACACGGTTTATTTCTGAGGAACTTACTTGGCTTCGAGTGAGTTTGACGAACTCAATTCACTCGTTCAAGTGCGGGGCATCGATAGAAGTGTTCCAACCACGGTGGTTCCAACACTAAAACATAGCAACACAGAAATCAAAAACGTGGCGTAAATTTTATTTTATAATGAATATGAAATTTGTGAAAGAGAGGATATGCATTGCATCGCAAAAAAAAAATATATATATAGTGGTGTTGGATTTGGAGTTTAGGTTGATCTGAACCAAAATTAGCGCCGGCGTGAACTGAAAAAAAAAAAAAAAAAGACGACGACAAAGTCAGTCGTTTCAAGGCTATCTTGGTTAGCAGAGAAGGATAGATAGCCTACATTTGTTTTAGCATGTAACTATTTGAGACAATAAGATAATTAGGATCAAATTAGGCAGTGTCAGTGCCTCCTCGTAGACTTATGTGGGACGAAGCGGAACGCCAAAGTTGGATAGGCTTCTTTCCTTATCTTGGCTTACAATGATCGATCAGAATCATCCAATTGGAGTAAAAATCGTTCTTCAATGTAACGTTGTTGTACACCGCAGCTCCTGGGCACCCGTTTTCGGGTTGGTCGGCGTCGGCGTAACCGCGCGTTGCATTATGGGATGTTTCCCAAAATGACGCACGTGTGACGTCACGAGGGTAAAATCTTCCCGCCAAATTTGGCGGTAAAATTTTCGGCTAAATTTATCGGGACACTTTTACCCGTGGACGTCACGTGACGTCACACTTCAAATTTCACGTGAGGTGTCATGTGACGTCATGCGTCAATTCAGCGGGAAAATTTCTCCGCTAAATTTAGCCGGAAATTTAGCGAAAATGTTCCGCTAAGTGGGATGGGAGCAACAGGGGAGGATGGGAGGGTACGAAGGGAAAGCAGCTGCATACCCTCCCCTTCGCACCCTTCCCTCCTACTCCTCAAGAGCTGCGCTCCAATTCGGCATTAGAGAGAATTGTAAACGTCTCATTTTTTTAACGTGTCTTTATTAAGGGGTATCGGTGGTCGAGTGGACTAGCGCACACCAGATCGAAGTACACCCGTGAGCGATATAAAGGTGAACAGCCCCCTTCTTGTTTTTGACGCTCCTGCAAGTTTTGGAACAAGCTCTGTTCCAGAAGAAGGCTAGAACGCAATGTTTAGACCCCCAAGCCAAGTACCATTTGAGACGTTGAGAGTTAATATAACTTTAGGAAGCCGTAAAACAGGCAAGAAACCAGGTAAGGTGTTCACCTTCATATTGGCGGCGGGTGCACATAAAGAGAAAGCTCGCGCTGCAGATCCCAGTGATCCTGAGCTCAATCCCCAGCCCTGCCCGAAGAACACACTTCCGATGAAGTGAGTTCGGGGAGGAAACTACGCTCGCTCCGGTAGATCGAGTGTAATCTGGATAGTAGAGTTCAAGGAGTAAAAATATTAGAAGAAACTATCGGTGCGTAGAATTACTATTATTTTCATAGGTGTAATATTAAATGCAAACTTGTTTTCTGTTGGCAACAAAGTAGTGCAATGTAGAAAAACAAGCGGCGAATCAAGTTTCCAGTCCTGGCCCCTTCGCAACGGCCAACGACGGCCAGAAGCACCTGCAAGACCCCACCAGGAATCTGAAGGTGGCAGGAGAGACGCGAAGGGCTCGCTTGAAATGAAACTCGCCCAAATGGGGCAAGGTGTCTTCGAACCACCGTTCGTTCCTCTGAAAAGTCCACCGTTCTTGACTGATCACGGGGAGGCTGTCGGTCATGAAAGCGGCTATGGTGAAGGCATTGGCCTGCAGCTGCTGATCGATGTCACTCGAAATTCTTGACCGTGCCGCGTCAGCATCCAGCTCCAGCTGCCTCTCATCTGAAAGGCGTTGGGCTCTCACGGAGAAAAGTGCCCCAACCACGCGCTTCCACTGTCCAGATCGCGGATATCGCTCTCCAACTCGTCCTCCACACACTCCATGATGTTGCATTCTGGTGAGTTGCGAGTGGCCGAGTGGGCTCGCGCACACCAGCTCGGAGCACGCGGAGAAAAAGCTCGCGCTGCAGAACCCAGGGATCCTGGGTTCAATCCCCACCCTGCCCGTTTCAATCTGGATGGGCATCGTACCGGCGTGTGGACGTGTATCACTGGCTTTTAATCGCTGATCATAATTATCAAATTGGATTTAAATTTAGATTAAAGCTCGTGACCCAGTGCAACAATGTGTGGTAACGCGTTTTTAATGACACGACGAAGTTATTTATGAAAATATGCGTATCCACTTTAATATTTTCCGTGCACATTACTTTACGCATCGTCATTGCCATCATTTTGGAGTAACACTAAATTTTTCGGTGTAGCACCAACGCACTTGGAGTGTGTTTCGACGGGTTAAAGTGCACTCGCTTGTAGTGACACTAAACCAGCCCTTCTGACAGGGGTATTGCCTGCATTAAAGATTTTAAAGAAATCTTAACAGAAAGGCGTTTGCGGACGCACGTGTAAACTGCCACTTGTTTTAGACTTTTGCTGTAAAAAATGTTACTGCCAACGCCAACACGCGCAGCGCGTGTAACTACGTTCCCTGCGCGCTTCTTGATGCTTGATTAATTTAGCAACAGATATATTTCATTTTAAACCTGATTCACGATATTCGTTTTTGTTCTTATTTTCATCTTTACTGGGAATAGACTTATTTACCAGATTACCTAGACATCAAGGAGACTAGTGGGAACGGAGGTACGCGCGCTGCACGTGGTTTCCCTGTGAATGTACCTACAAACTGCCCCCCCCCCCCCCCCTCCGAAAAAAAAAAACTGCATGGTTTCTTTGCATCGCCGAACGCTCATACCGCGCCCGAATGTAGTGCTAGTGCTCCGAACCATGCACCAAAGTTTCTAAACTGACCGTTAACTTATTTCAAAGTTATACTAAGCCGTTTTTTTTTAATTTTTAATGAAAAATGGCGGCCGACCGTCCTCTCAAATACTTGGAAATGAATGGAGTTACCGATACCGGCGAAAACGGGCCTCATTTCTGATTGACATTTTCACGAAAAATTGACATAACTTTTGACTGAGAAACGGTGAGTTCTCAATCTTTGGCATCTTATTTGAGCCATTACATTTAGCCGGAAAATGAGCGTTCCCCCATGCATAGTTTAATTTTTGCAGAGCAAAAGTCGCTCATTTCTTTTAGGGGGTTACACGCTGTACTTTAATTTAAATAATAAGAATGAGTCGTTCACGAGCGTAGTTGCAAAGCGCCATTAGTTTTTAGTCTTAAGTACATAGATAGCCTCCTCTATACTGACAAAGCCAGGCAGATCGCCACGAAAAGCGGCCAACGAAATTGAAAAGGTAGAGCGGCAGACAACGAATGAGGGGAGAGCCACGTAACGGGCGCCTCGCTGCGACAAGGCGCCGAAACACGCCTCTTCCGAGCGATGCGATGTTCGCTCGTGTTCCTCGCGTTCCTTGCGCTACCACTTCTTTTCTTGTCAAGTTGGAAAACCAAGTTTCGGGTTCTCGCCGCTGCAAAAGCTGTGCGCTGAGTACAGACTCCTTGAGAAATGCTTTCTGCTACCAGATCCTCGCGCTCCGAATCTGCGACCGGGCACTCTATGGCTCCATCGTCAAACTGCCAGGCTTTGTGAGTATAGAGGAGGCTAGGGTACATAGCATTTATAGGGCCGGCCCTACGGATTTTTTGTTCGTGACAAGTAACCTCGGTGACGTCAAAGTGTAACGGGACGCTGTGACGCAATCCCAAAGGCACTTTACATTCTTATAAAAAAGGTAGTAAAAAGCTGGTAAATGCAGCAGTTACAACTGTTTTCTTACCGTCACTACCTTTTTACTAGCTATTTACTACCCCAAAGGCGCAGACAAGATGGTGGCGTCTGCTGCATCGCTGATGGCCAGCGTTAGCGACGCACGTATACTGTTTCGGAACGCAGAGGGATGTATCCATATGCAGTCGTAGGATCAAATATTGCTGGAGGGGGCATGTTTAAGGGTTGAAGCTCACTTTACAACGACCGCAGCCTCCGTTCAGCACGTTGTGGAAGCCAGCCAAGGAGTTAGAAGACATGGAGAGGGCGTGGCGTCAGCCGGTTGACTTTTTGTTAATAGGATAACGGCTAGTTCTGAAGCTCTGGCATCTGGTTAAGACCTCTAGCGCTACATTTGGGTGAAAAATAGGCGTTCGGGGTTGCATAGTTTCTTTTTGCTGAAAATAAAACATACTTTCTTTTTTTCTTTTTTTTTGGGGGGGGGGGAGGAGGAGGGCCACACTCTACTATTTAGAACTTTTACTCATGTTGCCAGCGATCAGAAACAATTATTTCTTGTAGGTATAGGACATATAGTTTGACAAGTTGCTTGTGTTTAAAAGGGTTAAGCAAAAATATTACCATATTGTAGTGTAATATTTCTGACCTTAATGGCTGGCACAAGTGGGATTCATGCATGCTCACACGCAAAGCCACTGACATGTGTCGCGTCTTAATTCCAAGGATGAGGGGGGACTTTTAAATGGGATAGCGTTCCCCACCTTTCTTGAACTGTAGGCTGGCAAACATTCGCCGAGGGCAGAGAGGACAATTGACTTTCATTTTGTAATTAAATTACACTAATAATTACTTTGCCTGAAACTACTAAAATGTAACTAAATTCTATTACGAACACCACAGGAGATTAATTAATTACAAATTCAAATTAGTTATGAAAAGTAATATTATTGCTTAAATATTTCTTTTTGCATCCTCATAAAAAATATTTATTTTGGTACCGATAATTTTATTTACATTATAAATAGGTAACCTATGTAAGACGCAGCTTGAAACCTGGTCCGCCAGGCTCAAAGCATGGCGATGCTCACCGTAAGTAAAGGGAGACATGTTTTAGAGGGGAGAGGTATGGCGGATAATATTTGGGGTTATTTCACAAGTCTTTGTGCCTCCCTTCTTCAATGTGTCTGATATGGATGGATGATTCCCCGCGACATTCAAAGAAAACAAAAAATAAATTAGCAGGAGCTCCCCCGTTGTGGTGTTTCCAAGTGATAAAATTGTTAACCTTTTATTGTGGCAATCGAACATCTGTCTTCTTGGTGGTTGCTCTATTCTGAAACATTTTATCTGCAATCGCTATACCCGTACTTTACTTATCTCCTCTTGAACTACAGATCCTAGCTGTTCTGCTACAAAATATGCAGCTTATTCGTCATTTTCGTTAAACCAGCCTCACAATACAGGGGTCATAGCTGTTTCGGGCACGAAGATTAGACCCCACCCCAATCCCTACAAAGTCTCGTTCCAGCATCAAGCTCTTCTTTATTTCATTTTTGTTTAATAGCATTGTTTTTGTTCCATTAAATTTTGTACGCTTCCAATGAACTCGCCTGCGCAATCACCCTTATTTCAGCACAGCTAAGTGCTTTCACTAGTCATGTGCGTGCTGAAATTTAAAAAAAAAAAAAAAATTCCCTTATGGTTTTTGTATGCACTCAGAAATATACCTAAAAAGGCAAGTTGTTCAGTATATTCATCGCCATCAGCGTTCTAGGCTAATTCATAACATTACTAAATTATCTACACCAAAAGTAGTGCATTTCATTTTTCGTTGTTGCAAAACGTAATTTAATTACCGTAATTTGATTAGAGCAATTTTTATTACTGCCACCTCTGGTCAAGGGGCAGGGCTGGTTTAATTGGTGTGTAGCGGGTCATTAGTGGCCCATTCCGGTGTCGCATCTTCATGACCGGCGACCGCGACCGCTAATTAGTCCCTTACCGCCTCCGCACGCTGGGGGGCACATCTACTCTGCGTTTCACTTAAAATGAATTTTTAACGGGTAAGAAGTTTGCTCTAAAACTGATCTCATGGGAAGTATCACCTTGGAAAAATTCTGCTTAGAAGATTGTCTTGCTATTGTATTGCTACTAAAAGATTCTTGGTTTACCGCTATTGGTGCTAAACCACTAGCGTTAAACCAAGTGTTTAATGGAGTTAGTGGAGCTTGTGGTTAATGTTACAGTTAGAGTTAGAGTTAGTGAGTTAGAGTTTGTTAGAGTTAGAGTTAGAGTGAGTGTATTTCATTGCGCTAGTTCCATTAACTTGCGGATACGCTTTTTGTGACTGCACTTAATCTGAAAACCTAGCCTAAATAGGCTAGGTTTAGAACATTCGCATTATTTTAGGGGTTACGAAAACAAGCAATAAATGTCCGAATCGTTGGTATAGGCCAATGAAAGGAGCCAGAGCCACTACATGAGCCGCGCTTAGAGTATCGGCACTCCGTTCCCCGATCAGCTAGTGGGAGCCGCCATCTTGGTGCTTAGAGCACAGCAGACACGACTGTCGATCGTCAAAATTCAAAGATGTGACTTCCTGAACTTTATACACGGTAGTAGGAAGCACAGGTGATATTGTTTTGCTCTCTCTCGAAATGTTCTAACATTTCTGGAGGACGGTAAAACGTTTCCTGCGATTACAAATGAAGCTTCAGATAACTGGCAGCCATTATTTAAAGTCAGAATATGGCCAAATGTCGTTACTCTGGAGCGTAGTTTACTCGGTGGCTCGAGTAGGAGCGAAACGCCTGGTCGGATTCGGGTTCGCTTCGTGGCCGCCTCTCGAAGCCGGATGCGCAACGCGGGTCCGTCGCTAAGCATGCTTGATTCAGACGTCCTCCGCGGTTGCCTACCGGAGCTTTAGCTCCGAGTTCTCGACCGGAGCGTGAAGCTGGGCAGAGACGTTGTATTCGAATGCGTAATTGTATATAAGGCTCAGCGGAAAGCAAACTGCTTCCATCCTCAAGCACCTCAGTCCATCATTCACCGGTAGCACTATATGGCGCGATGCACGTTACAGACTCCAGGCTATAGCAGGTTTACCCCACTGGCTAGATTTAAATTCTAGAGCGACGACACGAGAGACGCCCACCGGGGTTGACTAAAATGACGCGCTCTAAACCATATCCTCCTATATACTGACAAAGCCTAGCAGATCGTCCCGAGAAGCGACCGCCGAAATAGAAAAGGTGGAGCGGCAGACAACGGATATGAGGAGAGCCACGTGACTGGCGCCCCGTTGCGGCGAGACGTCGAAACACACTTCGCTCGAGCGAACTATTGTGTTTTGGGTCCTCGCCTTTGAAAAATTTGTGCGCTGACGTCCAGCTTCCCCGAGAAATGGCTCTCTAATGCTCTGTGCTACCAGATCCTCGCGCTCCAAGTCTGCGACCGAGCACTTTATGGCTCAGTTGTCGAACTGTCGGGCTTTGTGAGTATAGAGGAGGCTATGTCTAAACATACAGGCAGCACAATCGCTTTTTTTACGTAGCGTCCGCGTCCATTCGCGCAGGCTCCTGGAGAAGCACAAAGACCTCATTCTGGCCGGAAAACAAGATGCCCGCGTCTACATCCCGATGTGTGGAAAGGCACCCGAGTTGAAATGGTGAGGACGGTTATCATTTTCGTTTTCTATTTCACCCGAGGCCGTATACGGCTAAGGAGGATCAGTTAAAGTACGTGCTGACAGCAATTTTTTGCCAATCTTCTTTTTATTTAGCAAGGTCAGAAACGTTGTTTAAGCAGACTGTAAGTTGCTTTAAGCTGCAGCTACACTGCTTCTACACCATGCAAAAAAACGGGTTTTTTTGCTGCAGACATGATGAGAACCTTATCAGCGGACAAGCCTGAAGCGTATTCCAAGAATGCGTGCTTTAAACATGCTCGAGCTCTGAAGCATGTTCGAAGAGCCCACAATATGTATGTTTGCAAACATGTCTGCAAACCGTTTTGCTATGACCAACGCGACCAAGGAATACCTTAGACAGTGTCGCATACAGACTGTCGCATGTACGATGTATTTTCAGTGCGACTGCCGCTTTACTCACCGCGTGTACTCATAATAAGGCGGCTGCCAAACCCAGCAACACGACACATCGACCCCTTTGTAAAGCGCCTTCGCGGAACGGGCGACAAGGGAACCATACTGTCTCTGCCCCCCCTGTTATAGGGTCCCACCGGAAGTCAAGAGATATTACCAACTGCAACCCGTGACATTCGTAGCCCTTTTCCTATGTTTCTTTTGGTTTTAGCTTTCTAAGGCACACCTTGGTTGCCGGTATATGCCCCGCTCTCCTTCAGATTTTTTTTTTTTTTTTTTTTTTTTAAGTTGCGAATAAGTTGCGGGGCCCAGGTTTGTGGGAGCCACAGCCGGCAGATGCAGGCCGTCTTGCCCGGTGCGACGAGGCGCGACAAGTATTAGACACAACTTCTGTTGTTTGTTTGTTTTTTTCTCTTTTTTTTATGGGCGTTTTTATTGTGAAACGAGGGAGTGTCGCCTTTTCCCCCACCTTAGAAACTAGGGCTGGGCAATTGATCAATTAACCTACCGATTAATCGATTAATGCTTTAATCGCGATTAATTTGTTTAACCGGTTAATCGGTAAAAATTTGAAGAACAAAAATTAAATAAAAATTAAATGCTTTCACCAAGCAGACACGGACGAGCACACATGTATGAAGTGAAAACTTTAGGCAAGATATTACCTTAAGGTAAACTGTAAGGGGCAGATTTGTAACTTCATACACGTGCAGAAGGTTTTCACATGTCCCAGCGATTTCAACGCCGTGCGAGTGTCCGTTTAGTGCAGCAGAGGCTACTGTGAGCAATCAAAAGAAGCCGCCCATCGTGGAGAATATCAACGAACATTTTTGTCTCATGGAGTTGAAGTAGTAATCTGTGAGTGTGAGTGTCTTTGCACTGTTCTTAACTAAGCATGAAGGTTGATTCATAATCAAAATTATTGCGTCGTTTAACACATGTTCAGCAAAAAAAAGAAAAAAAAAAGATGGAATTTTTATTTTTAAGCAGTATTATTAAGCATGGAAATGAACGAGACCGATTAATCGATTAATCAATCGATTAAAGGGTGGCGATTAATCGGGTTAAAATTTTTAATCGACGCCCAGCCCTAATAAAAGCATTTTGCGTAGTGCGTTATGTATCCGGGAAGGGGGCTGTACAGCCGGACATGTTACTAAAGTAAAAGGTAACAAAAGTGCGCTTATCGTTTCGTTTCTTGAAGCGTGACCAACTCCCTACTTTGACCTTTACCTTCAAAGTCCTATAACGCATCAAATGCACTAGAGGAAATTGGTGTATATGTTTTCCCGCTAAATTTAGCGGAGACTCGGAATGGTTATATAGATCACGTGACGTCAGGACACGTGACCTCCATTTTCTGCGCTAAACAGTGGGAAACGTGGACTTGTGTCTCGGTCACAAGACGTTAAATTTCACGCTAAATTTAGCGGGTAACTGAATTGGTGAATGGGAGACGTGACGTCAATTTCCCGCTAAATTTAAAGGAGAAACTGAGTTGACATATAGGTCACGTGCCTTCAATTTTCCCCAAGGTGTATAGGTCACGTCATGTCACGTGACGCTACTTTTCCCGCTAAATTTATCGGAAATGCACGGACAGATGGACGGGCAGACGGTAGGACAAAAGTGTGGGAGGAGGGGGGGAAGCGTTAAAAAGCATTTTATGGTTCAAAAAGTCCGACCCCCCGTGGTATGTTACTAAGTTTCCTTTTCATGCGTTGAACAGATATATTGTATGTAGGTATATCATACATTACCTTTATGTTATTTCATCAAGGCGTAGACGTTTCCAACGCCAGAAGCATCGTTTTTTTCTTCAACAACGAAATTATGTAAGTACTTCGCGTAGCTCATGAATAATTGAAAACGAGCGTGTTGTTGAATTGATACGAATGCTTGAAAGAATAAAACATCGACGACGTGGACGGAGAGAGAGAGACATGTTTTTATTTGATGAGGGAACAGGACTCCTCTCAAAAACAGGAGGATGAAAGAAATCTTGTTTCCGTCCTCGTCCTCGATGTTTTATTCTTTCAAGTATTCGCAGCCCATGAATAACGCGCAAAACTTCCTCTTTTCTTGATGTGACAACGAGTATAGATATAAGTAACGCATTACGTACAAATCTGCTTGCAGCTGGTGGCACGTGCTTCGGGATTTCACGTGCTAACGGGGAGCTCCGGCACGTGTTCCTAACCGAAGTTTGGGGTAGACGGCACTTCACATATGGTTCCGTCACTACTTTTTCAGAATTGGGGGAAGGGGAGGGAAAGGGGGGGGGGTTAAAAAAATCTCCCAGTGCAGTTTTTTTTCTTTTTTTTTTTTTTTGTTAAAGATAATACCCAATAACAGCAGAATATGTTGACCTGTCACCTTATTTTTTACACCGAAATAAACCTACTTTAGATTCAAGTGAAGCTGTAGGCTGACTTCGCTTGTTATTTGTTCAACCGTAAAATGAAGGGAAAAGAAAACAATACTCACATATAATTTATTGACCGTCGTGAGCAGGTTTTACAGCATGGGCCATCGTGTCGTCGGCGTGGAGTTCATCGAATCGATTGCCCGGGGCTTTTTCCTCGACAATGGTCTTACTTTCCACGAAGCCAAGTGTCCTGTACTCGACTGCAAGATCTTTCAGGTAGAGAATTTTAAGTATTGACAATTTAAGAACGTTTTCCAACCCCAGGCACGCTAGCCACGATCATTTGATGAATATATTATTACCGACAAACACTTCGAATTGAGCTGCGGCTTGCGCCATCTATAATCGATGACAGGTTAAGATCTCAGTAGAAGTTCCAGCTCCGGTACTTTCTCATTGCCTTCCGTAGGTGTGACGAAGTATTATCAAAGGCAGAAAGCCCGCACTCGCGGTGGAGCGCCCACCGGGTTCCTAAACTCTCAAAAAAAAAATTGGGTTGTGTGTGTGTTTATACAGCCTAGAACTTGGTCTGCCTCACAGGGGCGACGAGTCTCCCAGCTGTAGATGAGAAATTTAGCCAGTGCGGTACAGCCGCTAGCCTGGGGTCTTTAACGTGCATCACGCAGTAGTGATACACGACCGCACGCCGGTACGATGCTCATCCAGATCGAAACGGGCAGGGGTGGGGCTCGAACCCAGGATCCCTAGGTTCTGCAGCGCGAGCTTTCGCTCCACGTGCTCCGAGCTGGTGTGCGCTAGACCACTCGGCCACCGATCCCCCTCCTAAACTCTCACCGACTATAACCACTGTTTAATCTTGCCCCTTACTATAAATATTTGTAGAATATGCAAAGGCTTAAATTATTTTAATATTACACTAACCAGTGTGCGACACCGCACAAATATCATCACCTTCACTGGCGCTGGAAATGTGGAATTATGATGATAATAACGACGATAGATATATGGTAGAAAAACTACAGAGGCTGGAATACATACTAGACTTACTAGTGTGTTCAGCGCCGGCAGAAAGGATAATATTTTTTTTTGCGATGACAGCAGCGGCTTCTCTGCAGTCGTACACCTCGGGAGGCCCCGAGAAACGTGGAGGGTGTCGTGCGATTAGCACAGAGGCTGCGATCGAAGAGCCGGAAAGCGTGTCCAGGCGCTTTTAGAAGAAGAATTAGGTCGATATATATGAAGAAAGCAGGGAGGTTGAGCTGACCATAAACTGACGCATGATTAAAATTCCTACCGCAAAAAGGGAACCGCACGAACGTACGACTGTGCGGTCGTGGACGTCGAGATTTTGTTTTTTTAGGGAAGGGGGGGGGGGGGGGAAACCAGACCCCCCGCCCCCTTCAGTGCCGGGGGGTGGTGCCCTTGGTATCCGTGGGGCGCCGCCGGCCAGCGTTTTCTCTGCCCAGTGGCGCCCCCCCCCCCCCCCCCCCCAAATTAAAAGGTTAAAAGGCGCAAACAAACAGGACGAAAAAAGAGGCACGTACGACACGGAGAGGCGCCAACTTCCAACTGATTTATTGAAACACGAATCATCGTCAAACTCGATCCCAATCGCCTAAACACATGAAACTGATAAAAATTCCTATCATTCATTACACACATCCTTCAAGAAACACAATTTCTTTGGTTAACAGATAAAGAGATGGCATGCTTACGCATCTTTCAGCCGCTTTGTGTATACAGAAAGCTTCGATTAGTTCTCTTTGCATTTTTTCATTCCCTTTTTTTATAAACCTTGTGCGCTCAAACAAAGGTTCGCACCCACATCGTTTGCAGTGCTCCGCAAGATGCCCACCCGAAATATTGCGTACGGCAAGCTTATGTTCGCGTGCTCTTTCATTAAAGCATCGGCCTGTCTGACCGATGTAAACTTGGCCGCAACTAAAAAGAATCTCATAAACAACCTTAGTCACGCATTCGGTGTATCTTGTTACATGTTTCTTTGAGCACACTACATACTTCCGTTTTGTCATCGCGGAGCATAACTTTGAAAGTTTGCACGGGGCTTAGAAGACGACGTTAACCCTGTGTCTAACAGACATCTTTTTTAAATTGTGGGACACTTTGTGCAAATATGGTATCACCCGCACTGGCATCTTGTCTGTCTTTTCACGACTTTTGTCAACACCCTCTCGTTTAATTTTCTTTAAGAGCCTTTCACACACACTTGTCACTAAGCTCTTCGGGTAACCGGCCCTCGTCAAGCGTGCAACCTGCTGATCAAAGCTGACCGGCAGTCTATGCGGGCAGCTTTTTGTAATGGCTGCGTGAAGGCAGGTGAATGCAATCCCCCGTTTTACGAGCTTAGAGTGGGCACTGCTAAAAGAAAGGAGGCCTTTCTTAGTTCGTGGATTATAACTCCAGCACAAATGATCCTTAGTAAAAAAGAGCTGTAAATCTAGAAACTGAATACTGCCTTCATTAGGCATTTCCCAAGTGAAGTTCAGTCCGCCGGACAATGACTTAAACAGATTAATAATTTCTGCCACGTCATTTTCCATACAATTCGCTGTAAATTCCCCCAAAATAACCAAAACATCATCCACATAGCGGAAGATCTTGACCACATTCATCCCGTCAAGATTCCTCGATATGCGCTTGTCCATGGCAGAAAGATAAATGTCACACAAAACAGGTGCCACTGAAGAACCAATACAAATACCACTCTTCTGTACGTAGAACTGTTCATTAAAAACAGCGGCCGTGGACTGAAAGTAAAATTCTAACAGCGCTATAAAATGGTCGCAGTTGACACCGCAGAATTCTGGAACCCCACTTCACCTGACTGCGTTATGCTCTCACGAACAGCGACGTAAAGTCCATCATGGGGAACCGAGTAAAACAACTCTTCTACATCCACAGAAAAGGCTGTGGCCGCATTCTGCAACCCTGTTTTCAAATCTTGAACTAGTTCCCCGGAGCTTCGAACCAGAAAGGGATCGTCAATGACTAAGGCACTTAGGTGACGCTGTAAGTACCCGCTGACCTGGACCTGCCAGGCACTCTTTTTCGAGACAATGACTTGCAAGGGACAGCTAGTCTTATGAGTCTTGCCGCCCCTTAATAAGACCTCCAAAAAACCATATTTAGCTGCCTTGTTGACCGCCTTTAATCCTTCAAGGTTCACGTCTTTGAGCAACCTCAGGGCAGCCGTCCTTTGCTTCTTCGGGAGAAATTGGGCAGGCTTGAAATTCTTTTCAATAGCCGCTAAAGCCTTGTCCTGGAAAAGATCTTCCCTCATCACAACAGAACCACCCTCTTTGTCGGCTTCAACCACTGTAAGCCCACTGTCCTTGATAAAGTCAACGATTTTTCTAACTCGAGGTTGTTTCCTCGGTTCTCGACTCACTGTGTGCTTGAGACAGTCCACTCCTTCACTGATGGCTCGCTCTCTGTCCTGTTCACGGACGCGGTTGGCAACCCGACGCACCATGCCCGGTAGCTCATGCTGCTTTGAAGAAGGTTCATAGCTGTACTTCGGACCCTTTTCCAGAGTCATCCGTACGTCTCCTGGCAAGGGGACATCGCCCAGTACAGTGACGTTGTTCGCACAAGTGGCCGCACTTTTCATCTTGGGCGGAAGGTTCATGCGTATGCGCTGCCACAAAAAGTCTGTCAACTGGGCCGCCAACCTCCTGTAACCAGGAAGCCGACGGTCTGCGGAGCAAGGTTCACTCCCTTCGTAAACCAAAACCTGCAACCAGTCTTGATACATTCGCACCTGTCGCCAATGCTCCGACTTCACAATCTTGCACACTCTTCTGGCATGACCCCATGATGTCTCCAGCAGTCCGAAAAGGGCGCGCACCTCCGGAGGCACAAACTTTGTTTTGATGCAATGCGTTAGGAAACGGGACTGGCATGTAGAAATGACAATGAGGTTAACACAGCTGATGGCTGGATCTTGCTTGACGTGATGATATAGGAAAGAGCCCAGAGTAGAAGTGTCTCTTTTTTCGTCCTGTTTGTTCGCGTCTTTTAACCTTTTAATCGATACGAACCAACTAGCCCCAACCAAAGTTTTATTGCCCCCCCCCCCCCCCCCAACCGGTTGGTACGCCCATGATTGCGACGGTGCTTTTTGGGAATAATGGTACTAGTTACCATGACGTACTGGCTCTCCAATTTGATTTCGAGTCTCTCGGCGACGATAGCACTTAAAAACTAGTGTTGCATATAGTTACAAAACATAGATATGAAAAATGTTCCAGAGAAAAAAAAAACAGTGAACTTTAATTATTACAAAATGACGCATGCACAATAAATGTCCATTAAATATTACAAGAAAGATGCAAACTCGCAAAATGTCTTTAATTCACAACAAATGTTCTATATATAACACAAATTATTGTCAATGCATTGCAAAATGACTAGAAATCACAAAAAAAGATGTCGTACATCTAATGTCTTAAATGTAAACACTTCGACGGAACTCCGCATGGTTAGGTAAGCAATAAGAAAGGATATTTAGTATCCTTTCTTGTAAGAAAGTATTTTAGTATCCTTTCAATGTGCCTTACGTTTCGAAGCAGGCTCGGCTCCGTGTTCAAGGAAGGCGTTTACGGTAGCCAACCTCACAATGCAAGCAATCGAGCAAAAATATTTAAGCACGCTTTCGCCATACCCACTCTATGTTTACGTTACGTGGATGATTGCTTCTGTGTTGTCAAGACCAGTGACAAGAACGGCTGCTCATTTTCTGTTTGACCAGTGCACTGCTTTGAGAAGTATGTGTTACCAAAGGCTACAAAGCTCTCTCCCTCAAGTGGCTTAAACGTTGTTCCATAACACATAGCTGTGTTTTCCACTTTTATCAGCTCAGTTTAAGCTTCCACTGTGGTATACACCTCTATATCTAGTCCCCAAACCGCGGAGATACAGGCAGCATCGCGCTGCACTCTCACGACTCAGGGAAGATTATGTCATTCGCTTTTTAGTCAGCACATGGATGTCGCTTCCTGGCTCACACTATCCGTAAGGTAAAGAGACCGGGTCATCCTTGAGCACGATCTTCTACCAGGACGTGGTTGGCGGCTGCAGGTTGTTGTAAAACCGAGATGTGCCCGACTGCTGCGCTGATGTTGAGCTTGTCCCCTCGTCTTGGTCATCTGCAGCTTCCCAGAAACTTTCTTCCTCGTCCTTTTGTTTTATCTCCGAGGCGGCGAGAGTTTGCGGCACAGGTTTTTTGCTTTCATTTTGTGGGGAGATTTCGGGTAAAATAACTTGGCGCGACAGACAAAATGGTACGAATGGCATTTTTCTTCAAAAAAGGTCTTTCGAGATCAATCTCAGGAAGCTCACCGTTTGCAAGGTGCTTGAACGTCTTTTCCACGTACTATTATTTGAAGTGTCTTGCAAAAACAGCGCAGGTGCTGTCGAGCTTCTTGTCAGCCCAATTGATGTTGCGGGCCCATGCCTCCAAATGCTCGACGTCCTTCGGAGCACGGAACAGTGTAATTTTCTCTTTGCACAACCTGTATCCGCTAATGAACAAAAGGTTAGGGCGCCAACGAGTTGGTGGTGGCAAAACCTTTGGCTAAAAACCCCGAGACTGGAACGAAAAGGGACGAACAACCACAAAGCCCCCCAAAAAAACTTTGTGTTTGTCCGTCCCTACTTGTCCAAGTCTCGAGGTTTCTTAGTCAAATGGTCAAATGTTGTACCCGCTGTCACAATTTTGTACAAACAAGTTTTACCCCATTTGGTGCCATTGCATGCCAATCGGTCACAAAGAACAAGGAACCGGCCGCGCTTTACGCGGATCTCGTAGCCTTTAATCGTACGAAGGGAAGCAGCCGGTAACCGAACTGCTCGCTCGACCGCCACCTAGCGGCGTTGTCGCAGCGCATTTCCCTGGCGCCCATAGGAAACGCCTCCACTCCGAAGACTAGTCAGTATTCTAGCCTCCGTAGTAAGGCGGTAGCCTCCTACGTAAACTGGTGGCCAATATCAGACGACAGAAGTGTTGCCTGTTATTAGCCTTGCCGGTGACAACTTAAGAGTTCAGGGGAAACTCCTCCCACCTTTTTACACTTTAGCAGAGTGACCATTGGAGAGGAGATAGACGGACGGGAGGAACTTCCCCTGAACTCTTAACCTGTAACCGACTATATGCTATTTGCCATATTCGGGCACCGCCCTGCGTAATGCAAAAAGCCGTTTTGTAGCATGGGAAGAAGGGGACATTTAGGAAAAGCTTGAAAAATGTTGTGACACGCTGGATTAACTTGTCACTTCTGAGTGAAACGCAGATCAAAAATGGCTGCGCTCAAGCTATTTTGCCAGTCCCTGTTCCTCCCGAAGCACAATTACGAGCCTGCCCAGATAGACGAGAAAAGAGTCAAAGTACAGGCTAGCTGGTGGAAGTCAACCATTTCGTCGTTTACCCTGAGACTGGGGGGTTTTTTGAAGAGCAGAAGTTGAGACCTGTCTGTTTTCTGCTACTTCTGCTCTTCATTGAGACCTGTCTGTTTTCTGCTACTTCTGCTCTTCAAAAAAAAACCCAGTCTCAGGGTAAACGACGAAATGGTTGACTGCCCAGATAGGTTTGGAGGAGAGCTGGCACTTACGCAAAGATCTCTTCGAAAAACGTGCAATTAAATAATAATCTGGATTGTGTGGATTTCTAGACAGCGTGTAGTTGGTCAGCCATTTCAAAGTTGCGACGAGTCACACGCTGTAGATGAGAAATTTAGACAGTGCAGTACAACCGCTAGCCTGTGGTCTTAAACGTGACCCACGCAGTATAGTGGTACACGACCGCACGCCGGTACGATGCTCATCCAGATCAAAACGGGCAGGGGGTGGGGATTGAACCCAAGATCCCTGGGTTCTGCAATAAAGTTTATTCATTCATTCCCTGGGTTCTGCAGCGCGAGCTTTCGCTCCACGTGCTCCGAGCTGGTGTGCGCTAGCCCACTAAGCAACCGATCCCCCCCCCCCCCAAAAAAAAAAAAAAGTGTAGTTCTTGGTTTAACTATTTGCGTCTTGTCACCTCTTTTTCTTCACAGAGTCCTGATAAGAGGTTGCAAATATTTGTCTGCAGTGTGTTCGACTTTAACAAGTGAGTGTTCTACTGCTATTACACATAACTTTATAAAAGCTCAATTAATTACGCACAGAAAACTCCTCGTGACCTTGCGCTTTTTTAGAGCGCAGCACTTAGAGCTCGTTCCCGTGTTTTGCGGCGTCGGCGTAACCGAAGGAGGAGGGGAGCGTATGGAAAGGGAGGAGGGGAGGGGACGGAGAGGGGTGGGGGTATGGAGGCGAGGGGAGGGTACGGAGGAAGGAGGAGAGAATATAGAGGAAAAGGCCAGGTTATTGAGGGTAGGGGGAAGGGTACGGAGGAGGAGGAGAGGGTACGGGGGAAGAAGGAGGGTTAGAATACGGAGAAGGGTACAGTAAGGGCCCTCCTCTTCCCCTGCTCCTCCTAGAAACGTCACCGGCAGCCACATTTGTACATATATTTTTTCTTTCTCAAATTGTTTAGCAACGTATATCGCAAAATCAAAATACCTCAAAAGCTGCGCTCTAATCTCGCATAACAGAGATTTGTAAACGTCTTTCATTTTTTCCTTTGCGTCATTGGTTCAACCAATGACAGGAGACACGCCTAAACGACGAGTGCCATGACGATGCACTTTTCGCGTACCCTGATTGGCTCCGTTGGATCCTAGCGTCGACTGTGGGTGGACAATATTAGGCAGTTTGAGGCAATCGTTTTTTATTTTTTTATTATCTTATTTTAGAGCTCACGCTTCCGAAATTTTGGATGGGGTGCAGCAGCTTCGTTCCGTAAAGCCGTACGTGATATTTAACGCGTTTGGTGAATCGTAAAACCGTGTAAACGATGATGGTGATTAACGTTTGACCGGCAGAGCCATCTTGTAGTCAACGTCTTAAACGTTCCGCGTGCAAACCCGCGGGCCGTGTCTTGAGGTTTACGGCGTGCTACTGACGTGCGCGAGACGGCCAAGGTAACTTTTGCCTGTCGGAATTTCAAATCGCTAGAGACAGATAGTGTGAAGAGCGTCGAAGCGACCATAAAGCTCGGTGATGTGTCTCTATTCTTTAAAACTTGAACGACCGTTCACGTAGCGCGTTGTCAAACTATGGTGCCTGGAACGCGTCTCCGACTGATGTGTTTACCGCACCCAAAAAAAGCGGCCCCTCGATTTCCGCCTGATGACGTTATAGACGTGTTACGCTGCCGCCGGTCGCTATCCTGGCGGCGTTTCAGCAGTGGTGGCGATTGTGGCAAACCCCTGTTCTGCTGCAGGTCGCTCTTCACTTCGACAGTCCACGGTAGCTACAGCAGCCGGAAGTTGGGACGTCTGGGACGCCGTGACGACAGCGACACTCGCGTTCGCTCGTGCTTTTCGCGACAGACCGCCAGGTTCGCGACATCTGACAGCAGAATCCTCCGGTTTCTGTGACGTCACTTGCTGCCACTTCGGGACCACTTTTGACGTATGACCAGAGTAGGCGCTAAAAGCACACCAGTCGGAGGCGCGCTCCGGGCACCATAGTCGAACGAAGCCATTTTGTCTGCTCATTGTCAATGCCACGACTAGTTAACCCCGATCACCGAAACATTACCCACCAATCATCACATCTTACAGTTGTGAGCAGCCCTTGAAACGATTTGGTGTGACCTCCCAAATGAAGCAAAAATTAGGTGGATGGCAGATAGCCTCTCGATTTCTTAAGCCTAATGCTCGTCTGAGTCGGCAGTCAGTCGCCGAAGCGACCGCCATCTTGTATTTTCCTCGAGTGTTCGCTTTACTGTTGATATTGGCAAAATCTTGCGCAGTCTCATTTACAGATGTTTCCTGCTCATTTTCCGTATCGCGTTTTTGCGTGTGCGTTTGCTTTTGTTGGAAACGTTGAACAGAACCCTGGCCCGAAAGGACATTGTCAATCGCGAACTCAGACCGAGCCTTGCGAATGCTCATCCGTTCTTTTGACAGTAATGCGAACTAAGCAGGGTCATTTGGAACTGTTGAGAGCACTTCATTTATGCAGCAACGGCACCAGACTGTTGAATCCGTACCTCAGCAAAACTCACTCATGACTGACTCACTCTCCTCACTCACCAACATCAATCAGGAGTAAGGTGAGGGTGAGTTCATAACCCTTGAAAACTCATGAGCTTGAGGTTGGGTGAGGGGCGTGGGTCCGGTGAGTTCCTGAGTTCATAAGATCGGTGAGTTCATGAGTTCAGTCACTTCATGAGTTCATGAGTTCGGCGAATTCATGAGTTCGGTGGGGGGGGGGGGTGAGTTCATGAGGTCCGTGAGTTCATGAGTTTGGCAAAACATCAGGTCCCTATTGGGCCATGGGTTTGGTGAGGGTTTACGGGGTGACGTCGAGGAAGGGCGGGTCAAGTGACTTCTCCGTACGTTTCCGGGGATAAGTCGAAGCTCACTTCGCAATGGCGCTTTTAGCTCGTACAGCTTGTTCTCTACGAGTGATGGGTAAGGAGAAAAGGTGCCTATTGATTTATCTGCGCCCTTTGGCTTCGGCTCGCTTCGCGGCGGCTTGGCGTAGTCTTTTGCCGCTGATCGCTGCTTCGTGGTGGAGTGACTAGAGATAGGGCTGGGCTGTCCTGCTCGCCTAGGCCACTCTCGTGTAGACTTCGAGACTCCGATGTACTCACAATGGTTTGTTGTTACGTGAAGTAGGCAAACTGGCGCTACGCCGGTACGCCTGAAGGGAGACGTTGCTATTTCGAGTGCGCTCGTCTTATGCACGGTCGCTAACCCTGAAGCCAATATTCAAATAAATGCCGGCTGGGAACTGTTGTGATTGGCCTGTTGACTTGTTTGTTCAAGTTGTAGCCTGGAGTTCTATAAAAACAACACGCATACATGACTTCGTGCTTGAGTACATCCGTAACGCCGCACATGCTCGCGATTAGGTTGCTACAACGCAACCTAATGGCGCAAAGGCTGCTACAGTTATTTGGTAGCATATAGAAGGCAATTAGACTTTGGATTGTCAGAAAACAATTGCAGACAATCAGTTTCTTGATTACATTCAAAAATATGAAACGATCTTTTTACTTTTACTTGATATTGGTGATAACTAAGTGACGTTTGTAACCTGCTGTCCGACATTCCGCTAGTCGCTCAAAAGGGCGTCATTGAGCATGGTCGAAGTACTGGCTGCACCAGAAAACGTTTCACATGCCGGAGAAAGGGTTTTCTTACTAGCTTCGATAGTATTTAGATATTATAGTTATGATTCCCATATAGTAATATTTATCAACAGGTAGAGCTCGCGTTTGTGCGCGTGTCAGTCGTTTACGAGGAGCGCTCTTTTTCTTTTTAGCAACATGATTTATATTTATACGAATCCAAACCAAACTAATTAAAACAATATTTGATAGGCGTACATGCGCGTGCGTGCATAAAAACAACATTCCCCCCCCCCCCCCCAAAAAAAAAAAAATTACGCGCTTCAATTTTTTTTGTATCTAACAAAACAAACTTTGAAGAGTTGTAGACGGTTGAATTAAGTTGCATGACCGTGCCCTTTCCCTTACTCAAATATAACGAGGATATCCGAATTAAACTGTCAATAGTTACAGGTGAAGTAATTTAAATATCGAAGGTACAAAACTTGCGCTTACACCAGTAGGTTATTTATAAAAGTAAGGGGAGACAAATTAAAATTACCATTTTTCAATAACTAATGAAAACATTTAATAGAAAATACAACTTTGTACATGTAGTATGTAACTATTTGTGTCAACATATTGACAATTTTGAATACGCGCACACAGTGTCTGAGCAACAAAAATACCTAAGGCATCTGACACCTATCGCATTTTCATGTCAGGATCGATATATATATGTATATAGCATTTTGCGAGGCAAAGAGTTCGCAGACTAGAACGTCCCGGTTTTAATTGGTATGTGCGGTGCAACAGAAAAACGAGAGGCGCAACAAAAAGCTCGAGGTACATCTAAGCACTTCTTATGAATTGTGAATGCGAAAGTACTCAAGCCGCTCGTCCGCTCCCTTTTTCGTCTGCTGTGTACTTTTCGTCGCCGGTCGGCACGTGTGCTCCCCTGGTGGCCTTGGACACTCTGCGCTGATAGACACACAGCGCCATGGGGTGAGCGGTCGTGGAAACTGACGAGCGCAGCGGCCAATGGGAGCCCCGTCGACGCGCGCCAGCCAATGGAACCGAAGCCGTTCGCGGAAGCTAGGTGCCGTTTTCGCGCTTCAAACTGATTATGTCAACACGCTCCACGGTACAGTAGTGCTTTCGCATTAAAAAAATGATATGGTACGCACAAAGTTCTTAATCGTTTCTTCTTCCAAAAAAACTAAAATATCCACCAGGCAGGTATTTTATGGTAAATAATTTGTGTGAACGACGATAAACATAAAGATAGACCGTACGATATAGTTCTACTCGACAACGTATTGTCGGGCAAACCGTCCTACCATTTTCGCAATGTGCGATGCAGAAACAAAATACACACCCACGGTGGTGCGTGTTGCAATATTAATAATTTGCACGTAAATAAACAACGATGCAGACGCTCACTCTATACTTGCACGAAGTTGTCGCGAATGCTTGAAACAAAACAGTGCACACCGTAAAGAATACTTCATCACGAGACTCCTGGTGATGCGTTGTTGTATCCCAACAAAGCGCGCCTTCCTCAAGCGCTCGGCCGGCGCTCGGCCGGCGCGCAGCCGGCGCGCTGAAGGAGTCAGAGCAAAACAAACAAAAAAAAAACATTTATTCTCTTGGCAACGTGACGGCTGGTGCCGGAGCGTTGGAAGACATCAGCGGCCATGGCGGAGTTGTAAAAGCCTCGCAATCTGCGCGCAACACGAGCGCCAGCGCCGCGAGTATACGCGGTGAGTGCGAGAACTACTTGTGAGTGAGTGAGTTCATGAGTTCGCTGATGGCCGTGAGTTCATGAAGTTCGGTGAGGCGCGTGAGTTCGTGAGTTCAATGGGTTCATGAGTTCAGTGAATTCATGAGTTTAAGAGTGACGACTTGAAGGTGAGTGTGGTCATGAGGGTGAGGGCGAATGAGTT